CCAATAATTTTCTATAGTTCGCGATGGAAGAAGCTCGTCATTATTGTGCAATAAGAAGTTTGATAGTTCACCAAAATCATCATCACGAAATTCAATCTTCCACAACTTAATGTCTTTTGCAGGTATATTAATGAATTGAGGATGAAGTTCCAATTTAATAATTTCTTTAAGATGACTAACTAATTTATCAGGTTTGATATCAACGGCAAATGCTTTTGTGATAGGTTCTCCTCGAACAAGGCAGGCGAGTGTAATAGACATAACATTTATGTATGTGGATTAAAGACGATGTAGTTAACGAAAAATATGAAGATTGTATATGAAAAAAATATAAGAATTGATTTTAGTCTCAAAATAAATCAGAGACGCGCGAACACGTGCGAAAACAGCATCAGGGTGCAGTTCAAATTTTCTGGAAATGACCAGCGTTACACAAATTATGCAGATCACGTAGAAAAAAAATAAACACGAAAAATATAGAAAATGGAGTCTAGACCTATCTTGGTGCACTAACAAAAGATGTCGGAGATGCAATTTTACGAATAAGAACATACCAAAATCTAATGAAACAACCTAATTCTAAATGCTAATTAGATAATAATTCTGGGAAATTTGGACGCACCCTGATGCTGTTCACATGCGAAAGAAAAAAAAAGAAAAGAAAATGAAATTAATGTTTCAATCGACTTTAATATACCAATTAAAAATGACGGGAATAAAGTTATCACATCATAAACGACAATCTATTCTTAACCCTTAGTGCTAATATCCTAACCCTAAATCTCTATCTTTACGCGTTTAGTTTATTTACAAAATTACATTTCCTTTTGGTTTGTGTTACTCGCGAAAATAAGTAAAATCCGATAATTATTAAGATAATAAGTCTAAAGTTTTTTGAAGCATGAATGTATGTAATATGTTTTAAAAAAAGCGATAATTAAATTATACCTTTACTATTAGAATTGTGCCAATTCCTGAAGACATTGAAATAGATGATATTTGAGGTTGATGATAAGAGATTCTAAGTATCTTATGTTTGGTGTCAGGCATGTGACTCCTGAGAGAAGTTCAAGGATGGACAAGTGGAAGTAGAGTATTGATAATTGCATTAAAAATTTTCAACTTAAAACCACATTACATAGAAAACTTATCGAATGGATTTCATTTGATAGATTAGAGAATATTCAAGAAACTGAAGATAAATACCTAGCAACATCTCAGGTTCAAGAGGACAATATAAACAATCACGTAAACCGTCATGCCTAATGGATCTCAAACATTGTCTAGCTCACAAAATTCCTCAGATTTATTAAAAGTATGTAATCATTTTTGTTACTACCTATAGTATATAATCATTTGACTAATTATTAAAAGCATATTAAACCAGAAAACAATGTTTATGGACTAACTGAAATAGTATTACGAATGAATATATGTTAACATTTGATAAATTTAAAAGAAATCACAATCTTGGAGATTGTGCAGATTGTAAGCGACATAATATGTCAAACTTTACAGAAACTATAAAAATGATTTATCCAATGATCGTACATATTTGCCCCGTTAAAATGACGCGTTTAAATGACCTAATCAAGTCATGGAATACCATTTAGAATTTGTCGGGTATTGGAACTAGTGTTCCGAGTTGGTAATATTTTACCAATCGATTAGTTGCCAACTATAGTTGCAACTAATCGATTGTTCACATCACGTGACATCACCAGATGATTAGCCAATCAAACAAAAGGAATTAATACGAATCTGCCTGACCAGAAGGAATTTCTCAGAATTGTACTAGTTGAATGATTAATCGATTAGTTGTTTAAAATTTTTTCAAATCGACTAGTTGGAAAGTTGGCAACTAGTTGATTTTTCAACTAACAATTTGGAACACTAATTGGAACTTTAAATTGATTATCAGTTTTAACCCGACAAGTGTAAATGGCACACCTGGTAATAGGGATGGATCAGTCCTGGAAAGACCGAATAAGGACCGATCTTTTTAACCGGTCTCAAGATTAACTGGCCTTCATAAATAGATAATTAAAATTACTAAAAAAAAACAATATTTTAGACAATCGCTTATTTCAATTACCGATGTTATATGATTTAATTCTCTCCGCTAGTCAATAGAATAGTTAGAGGTCGGGACCGCTTTTGGGCCGAGACCGGACCAAAAAAACGGTCTTATTAGGACCGGACGGACTAATTCATCCCTACCTGGCAACAGCTCGTTTATATAGGCTATTTCACCAATCTAAAAAGATCAGGGTAAATGTGCAAACATTTTGAGGTAACAGAGTTGCAACTTTCACTACTAAAGTTGCAACTTATGAAGTATTGACGTAAGTCGTAATATAAGTAGCGGGTATCTGGTATTATAATATGTCGTAGGTTGTAATAGTAGTAGTAAGTACAGTCATACCTGGGTTATATCACCCCTTTTTTCCAGAGCATTTTTGTAGATATAACTAAGGCAGGGATATTGCTCAATATATAAAACATATAAAAAAACATATAAAAAAGGAAATTTATTCTGCTTAAATATTTGGATATAACCCAGTGGAGATATAGTAAATAATGTCGTAGGTCGTAGTAATATAAGTAATGAATAATTTAATGTTATAAAATGCCGTAATGTAATATAGCATATTTAATTATATATAATGAATAATTTAATATATCAACCGCATCTGTAAATTTGGATAATGCGCCTGAAGATTTAGTAAATCAATTTTTGGCCAAAGAATTTATAGAAGATTAGTATTTTTTTTTCTTTTTTTTTTATGGGTGTTCTTAAGCATCTATCTTAATAGGCTCAACCAAGAATTTGATTGGCCGGTTTGATCAAACAGGCCAATTAGATTCCTATT